AGTATCCTGTTTGTTTTTTTGGATGCTCTGCCATTTTAGTATCCTGTTTGATTTTTAGATGCTCTGCCATTTAAGTATCCTGTATTTTTGGATGCTCTTGATGCTCTGCCCTAACAAGAGCAACTTCCCAAGAATTATTTTTTCCTTTCCTCCATACCTGCTGCACTTCCTCGTTGCCGCCATTCAGGATGGAGATGCCCAGTTTCAACGTGGAAGACACCATGGCACCAGGCTCTCCTAACAAGATTCAAAGAGAGGAAAAATTATGGCTTCTATCTTGAACTTGAACTTCGTAGCTAGTATTAGTCTAGGTATCTCCTTTCCCCATTGAATGACAGTCTAAATTGGGAGTTGATACAGCCTTCCCACATCTGTTCCTCCTTGAGATACACTGGCCTACAATCCCCACAATCCCAGCCAATACAAACCAAGGCATGTTCTGGTCAATGATGATGAGGAAAAGAAGTACAAATAATGCTAGATCCTAGAAGATATCAAGCCCAATGCAACTCTCCAAGCTATGGTTTTGATTCTGGACGTTTTGATGTGATAGTTCAACAGCTTGAAACGTTTCCCCAGTCCCAGCTGTGCCTGAAACATGATCAGATTCCTAGGAACAGTTGCTTGGGTTTTCCTTCCAAAAATAAAAGTATCTGAAGAGAAAAACTGGATGAGCAGCTTTCTGAGCCTCTCACAGCTCTCTACTGGCCCATCTTGAACTGTCATATCTTGGAATGAAATGACCGGGCCCACACAATCCATCATCTGCTGTAGGGTAAGAGATGGGGAGAGAAAGGGTTGCCTCTACCTTTGCAGGCGCTGATCATCTGCAGAACCATCTCGGCTGCCCCTCGGTTGTGCAACCGGGATTGTTGATACAGAAGCTTCTGTTTTTCCATCTCCTTCTCCTGCAAGGTGGCAAGAAAACATGAGGTGATGGCTAGGAAACAATGACAGGCTACCTAGCTGTATATTACCTGCAGGAGGAGAGTGCTAGGATAGTTACAGTGGTACAACATGCACTTTTGGCACTGTTAAAATAGTGACAAAGATTTCAGTCTGGAGCATCTACATAGCAACTCATTCTCTCTCTGGTCTGGGAAATCATGTGACCTAATGATTTATATCTCAGCCCGTGATGTAAAGTTTCTACAGTTCTGCCATCCTTCAGGCTCAGCTCCCTTCAGTTCTAATCCTATCTGCTTTTTAAAGTAGTAATGAATGGTGTGTACTGCTCTGGGATCAATAACACAACTTTTGAAATGTACGTATAGCATCTATCTATCTTGAAACTCAGGGCAAGTTTGCATGCTGCAAGTCGCTTCT